AGGCCAGGGGAGGCTTTTGCCCAGCACGGCTTCTGTTTGGCTGAGCAGATTTTTAGAAGCTGCTTCGGCGGCAGCTGCCACCCCAGGGCAAGGGTCTTTGCTGTGTGACTAAAGGTGAGTTCTGTGCCTGGAAGGAAATATTTTTAAACAAAATATGTTCATCTTACAAGGCATCCTGTCAGACGGAATTTCTGTCTGGAATGTGGAAGAGTCACGATGATCGGGATGCGTGACCTCACTTCCTGACATTCTGTGGCTGGCTCCATCTTTCGAGGCCACCATTTTGTGACTGGCAGCCATTTTGCAGTTGCACCCTCTGTCCTGTATCAGAATTCCCAAAGCGCCCAGAGGCTTAAAAATGTTGGGGATCCCCTGGTCCGTATAACCAATGTTTAAGGTGTGGTACCCTGCTAACTAGGGGCCGCAGTGGCTCAGAGGTTAAGACGCTGAGCTGCAGACTGGAAGGTCTGCAGTTCGGCAGTTCGAGACCCGAGTGCCGTGTAACAGAGTGAGCTCCCGTCTCTGGCCCCAGCTCCTGCCAACCCAGCAGTTAGAAAGCAAGAAATTGCAAGTAGATAAATAGGTACCGCTTCGGCGGGAAGGTAACAGCGTTCTGTGCGCCTTGGCGTTTAGTCAAGCCGGCCATATGACCACGGAGAAGTCTTTGGACAGCGCTGGCTCTTCAGCTTGGAAACGGAGATGAGCATCGCAACCCTAGAGTCGGATTCGATTGGCTTTTGAGCAAGGGAAACCTTTACTTTTAAATAGGTACCGCTTTGGTGGGAAGGTAACAGCACTCCGTCCGCCTCGGCATTTAGTCACATGACCACGGAAACGTCTTCGGACAGCGCTGGCTCTTCGGCTTAGAAACAGAGATGAGCACCTAGAATCGGATTCAACTGGCTTTCGGGCAAGGGAAACCTTTACCTTTGCCCTGCTAACGAAATATTTGAAGCTGGTCCACTAATCACAGTGCAGATTGGTGCAGACATCCTGGTTCAATCCTGCTTCACGGAGTGGTACTGCCTTTGCCCCTCCGTGGCTGCAGAGATGCCTGGCCAGAACGAAGGCCGTGAACCAGCCTCTGTCAAGGTAAACTAGGATCTGAGAGATGACCTGCAAGGGAAATCCTAGTTTCAGAACTTCCCATCGTGCTATCACATGTAGAGATCATCAAATCTCGGAAGCTAAGCGGAGTCTGTAGGGTTGCCAGGTCCGAACGAGAGGCTGATGGGGGACTTTCTGGGACGCTCTGGGAGAGGGGAGGGAAGACGATCAACGTGCCTACGTCACCCACAAGTGACGTAGGCACGTCGGTGACTACGCTCTGGTTTCCGGGCAGCACTCTATGGTTTGAAGCTAAATCCTACCATAGAGTTTTGCCCCCAAACCAGAGCATCGTCCCCTCGACATCCCTGACATGACTTCCGGATGATGTAAGAACGTCACATTTGGGGCAGTAACTCTCCCCCTCCGGCCAGTGCCGGGGGGGAGCGCAGGAAACCAGGGGACACCCCCCCATGCCAGAGAGACCTGGCAACCCTAAAGACCTTGGCTAGTATTTGGAAGGGCGACATCCAAGGAATACCAGGGTCGTGACACAGAGGCAGGCAATGGCAGACCACCTCTTAAACTTCTATTTCCTGAAAACAAGTCTAGCTAGTGGTGCACAACGCTAAAAGAGCTACAATTACTGGCTGCCAGACAATCTTCGTATTTCCTGGCTATTCTACACACAATGCCACACGGCAATTATTACCAGAGTTGCCACTGGGGTCTTGCAGCTGCAGTACAGCTGCTAGTCCCTGGGGTGAACTCATTTCAACTTTAACGTGTCGTTTGGCCCTCAGTCATTCTCTAATTGAGCTCCCACTACCGTCTGTTTCCTTTCTCTTGCATGTCTTCTTGTGCACATCTTCTCAAACCTTTGCTCTTGGAATAATAATAATAATAATATACTTTGTTGTCATTGTACATAGTACAACGAAATTAAAGATGCAATCATTTCAGTGATCTACAACAATATTCATATGCACTCACACACCATTCACTACTGTCCCATAACTCCCTTAAGGTTCACATAACAACTTAAAACCACCAATGTCACCCAAATTCCAATTTCATACAGCATTTAAGGCAATAATAGCTCTCGAATAAAAACTATCTTTTAATGTATTTGTCCTTGCTTTCATTGTCCTATATCTTCTGCCCGAAGGCAGCAGTTCAAACAGGGAATGTTTAGGATGTGACAAGTCCTGCAAAATGTTCTTTGCTTTTTTCAAACATCGAGAACTGTACAATTCCTCCAGGGATGGGAGAGAGCAGCCAATGATCTTCTGGGCTGTAATAACAACTCTCTGGAGTGCTTTCCTCTCCACAGCCGTGCAACTGGCAAACCAGGCACAGACACAATATGTTAAAATGCTCTCTATTGAGCAGCGATAGAAGGACATCAGTGTTTTCTCACTCAATGTGCGAAATCTTGAGGGATATCTTGATT